AGTTCTAGTATATGCCATAGCTTTAAAGATTGATTTAGGGTCCTCTCTCTCTAGGAATTGGTTCCAATGGTCGCGTTTAGCTATTTTGACAGCTTGTAGATAGCTGTTTCTAGCTATTAGATATTCTCTTTTCTAGGTGTAGGCACTTGTTGGGCTAATAGCAAGTTCTCTCTGTAGTTGGCGTTGTTTGCTGAGCATGCTTGTCCTAAGTGCTTTTAGGTCTTGATTCCACCAGGGCTTGCTTTTTGCAGTGGTAGAACATTGTGGAATTGCTGCCTTAGCTGCTTTAGTTATAGCTGTAGTGAGCTCTTTGGCTAGTGTTTCTAGCTGCTCTTCTAGGTCCTGGTCTTCTCCTTGGATAAGTGCTAGAGATCTGCTCGTAGAGTAGTTTGGAGTGTTTGCGTTGCTAAGAGCAGAGCTGTTTGCTATCTCCTTTGCTAGCACTTTGCTAAATAGGTTCCAGTTTGCTTTCTTTATGTTAAACCTAGTAGCAGGTTTGTTAAGTTGCTGTATTCTAGGCGTCCTTATTGTAAATAAGATGCCTAGGTGGTTAGAGCCAATTCCTCCTAGCGTTTGCCAGTCTTCTATAAGGTTTGCTAGCTGTGTTGTAGCGAAGGTTAGGTCTAGGACACTCTCTCTATTCATGTTAGACCTAAAGAAAGTGCCTATACCAGGACTATTTAATAGCTCTAGGTCTTGTTCTTCTAGCCAAGTAACAAAACTAGCTGCTCTTGGTGTTATAGTAGCTACTATAGGGTCCCACCATGGGTGGTTAATATTAAAGTCGCCAAGCAGGATAGCAGAGGGCAGGATAGAGGTACTAAGGAGCTTTCTCTCTATTGTAGTAATGCCTTGTGTGTCTAGCTGGTTGTAGACATTGTAAATAGAGAAAGTTGTTCTAGAGCTCTTAACTGTAATAGCTAGGAAGTTAGGATTAGGGCTAGTGTCTGTTAATATAGTAACTTGCGCTTGTATAGTGCGTGCAGAGTAGACTAAAACACGTAGTCTTGTACTGTAGTCTTGTAACAAAGGAAGGATTTGTGTAAAGGAGGGGTGATTTACAGAGCGTGTA